CTGTATGTTCTGTAGTGGGATAGTGAAAATTTTAACCAGGTATTTTTTTTTCACCCTTTTAAACCTATTTATTAATATGGGACCATATGCAGCAGGATTTGAAGCATGTCAAACTGGGGATGCTTGGACCTAATCCTCCAATTACAACTCATCCTGTCTTGATTTGTTTGGCTGAACCTCTTAGACAATGTTTTCACTACCAACTTTCTCTTTACTTCAGACAGTTTCCCTTAGCTGTCTTCCTTCTACTTTCCAACTATTTCTGTCAACTGCTGCACAAGTATTCATTTTTCCAACAATAGAACATGTTAAGTTATGAATTTGGTATATTTGTTTAAACTGAAACATATGTCAATCAGGCACAAACCACAGTTTTGTAATTGGAAAAACACTGTACTATTTTTAGCTCAAAATAATAGCACTGACAAAATCATGTCTTTCATACCTCAGACTGTCATACCTTGCATCATAGGTTGGTAGGTCTGATATGTGAAGAATATGACATTGCACTGCAATCAAGACCATGCTGAAAAGGAAGGTCTTCCTTTTAAGAAGATTCTTTGATCAAGAAAATAATCCTTTTTGTATTTTGATATCATCTCTATCTGGAAGGTTTTCCCTGCTGCTGCTCACTCTACTCACACATGAGGATACAAATATTTTCTTTTGAAGTCAGTAAGAATTTTTTGTATGCTGTAGGGAGGCAATGAGAATCCAATACTCTATGGACTGCCAACTGCTCCATTCACCAGAGTAATCTGATAAAAAAGCTAATGGAAGGCTTGCTGTAAGATTAACAAATGCAGTGTAAAACCTTAAGTAATATTCTTATCAGAATGGACATTGCTGGTCTCCCTAAGTGGGAACAGCATTTCATTTAAAAAAAGGAAGTGGAATGAACTGGGCTAGAACAACTGATTCTATGTCACCTGGTTGAATTCCTCAGACTGGAATTGTATGGAACTTCTCTGGAGTTCCAATGTATACTACTACTACTACTATTAATAATAATAATAGAACCTATTTTCAGATGTATATTTAGCAGAAAATAGCATGTTGTTAGTTTATATTTTATAAAAAACATATAATTTCTATATTGTTGTTTCTCCAAAACCTGCTGTGAATAACCAAATATATTATTATTCCTGTATAATAATAGAAAATGTATTAAATACAGCAAAGATATTGCAAAATATTGTCCTAATAGAGCCAAACCATTATGGTAAGCTTTTCCTGGGATTTAAAATAATCGCAGGCAGGAACTTTATTTTCTCTAGTGTTTTTATTAAAAACATATTCAAATAAACACAAAATACATAACAATCAAGGAAAGATGCACAGCCACAAATCCACGAGACACAGGCCTCTGGCATCTTTTTTAGGTTCCGCTAGAATGCTAAACTCAGTTTAAGCAAAGATTCACTAATCATAAAGGGCAATATAATCCCCTTTTGTAAGGGGGAGGGGGAAAACATTCAGAAAGTGCAAAATACCATAAAAATAATCAACAATGAATGAGGTTCCATCTGTTTAGCCTGGATGTCTCAAAAAACATATGCACAAGTTACTCAGCAGGTATACAGGGAATTACTGAATGACAGTGATGATTCTTATTTCCTTAGAACACAAGAAGCATAACTAACTATGTACACTACTATTGACATCCAAAATGACTTCCAGGAAATGATGGGAGACAGCTGACTGTGATTCTATCAGTGTCACTTTACAGTTGTGATGACTGAAATGTATATACACTTTTTGAGATACCGCATATATTTTTTCCATTCAATTAAAAAACAAAAAACAAAACCTGGATGTGAATGGAAGAGATTCATATATATGTATATTAGGTTGAAAATCTGGAGTGCTTTACCAGTATACTTATGGGAGAATTTGTAACAAGGGCATAGAATATATGAAAATGTACCAGAAACCTCTCTGAACCATTTGTTGTCTTAAATATCTTCAAAACCACCAAATTAGGGCATAGAATTAAACTGCCATATTAATATCGAGGATTTCAGACTATTCCCCTGTAAAGCAAGTCACCATGGTCTTGTAGACATGGTACTTGAACTCAGAAACAAATAGAAGGGGGTTTCATTTTTGATTCTGCTACCTATCTGCTGGGCAAAGTTGAGCAAGTTATTGTGCTTCACTGTCCCTATTACAATGTGGGGATAATGGCATTTACGTCTCATACATATGCACCACTGAGAATTTGCTGATGGGTAATACTGCAAGGGTCTGTGCAATGCATCTGATTATAATTGCACCCACAACTCTGGCCATAGGAAAAGCAAGATATGTATGTTCTCGACTTCTCATTGATTCTCAGAATAGTTTGCTTTTCTCTCACTAGGTGTGTCTACATGAGATACTAAATAAGCAGTAGATTAATTCTACTGTGCATTAGTGCAGCAGGGAAAAAAGGTGCTAATGCACCAGTGCATAGTAGAATTAGTCTATGGAGCATTAGCGTCACAAAAAAGCATGTACTGGCATTACTGCACAGTAGCATCAGTTATTGTGCATTGCATTCGTACCTGTTATTATAGGTACCAGATGTAATGCACAGGAACTATGGCACATTAATGCATGTGTAGATGCGCCCACTGTCATATTTGTTTTATGGCACTTCCATGATTTGATCTTGCCACACAGGTGACGTGTGGACTTGTGCATCCATGCAAAGCTGTGGTTAAGTCAATGGAGCTCTGGAAAGGTACAGGAGTTTGTCCAGTGATCTTTACAGATTCATGACCTTAATTTAACTGCATCTCCCATAAGGTTGTTCTTATTTTATTTCCTTTCTACTTTCCTCTTCAACTCCAAAATTGGTATTACCAGGCTGCTATACTTTATAGTGCTTGTAACTCTTTGTATGGACTGGAGTTTCTCTTATAAAATATTAGTAAACCTTTGTGTCTGTAAGCTTTAATAATAAATAAGAGCTGGCACATATTAAGTGCCTTTCATCTATAGATCTCAAGGTGGTTAGCATTATCCTAATTTTAAGGATGAGGAAAGTGATTTAGATGGATGCCCAAGTTTACACTAAGTAGGAATAGAACTCCATTTTCCCAGATGGCTGCTTCATACTTAATCCCAGGGACCACAGCTCTCTCCCCCTTTACTGGGATATTTTCCATTTACTTGGGAATTGGTTGGAATGTTAAAAGAGTGTATGGTAATTGCAGGCACCTTACTAGTATCTGTCCCAAACCTAAAAGAGTCAGTTTTCCTTCTTGTTTTATTTGTGTGTTCTTATTTGGATTTTCTTGTGAGGTATAATTCCTTTTGCCAAAGTCCTTCAAGAAATAATAAAAACCAAACCATGATTGCTGTTAAAAACAAGATTTCAATATCCACAAGAAAAGCTGTCACTTTCTGCTTCCAGCTATTAGGGCTGTGTGAAGCTTCAGTCCCTGATTCAATTTGGTGGACATTTGGCCCGATTCAGTGGCCGAATCTCTGAATCTGAATTGAATCAGGAGACCCTTTAATCTCTCTGAATCAAATCGGAATCCTCTGAATTGATTTGGAGAGATTTGGAAAGGTTAGGTAATTCAGACATAGACACAGCTTTAAATGTTTTTTCTGCATACCTCAACGTAGCAAGCGGCTCATGAATGCTGCGATGGTAGAGTGGATGGAGCATCCCGCAGCAGCGCAGGGTGCTCCCCAGCACACTTGACAGCAGACCTGGAAGTGGACCAGAAGCACTTCCAGTCCACTTCTGGGTCCGCTGGGGAGTGTGCTGGGGGGGCAGCCCTTGCGCCCTCCCAGCTCAGCAACTGGTGCCTCCTGGGTGTGGGGGGGCACCAGCGGCGGGGTCCCCCTGTGGCCAATCACCGAACTCAGGGGTGCAGGGGGGCCCCCAGCACACTCCCCGGCAGACCCAGAAATGAAGTGGAAGTACTTCTTGTTCACTCTGGGTTCGCCGCTGAGCAGGCAGGGGGTCCCCCATGCTGCTGTGGGATGCTCCATCCGCCCCAGCATCACAGCATTCA